TATCAGCCCAGAACTAAAACAATTTCCGAGGCCAACTCTTCAGACAGGGATTGGGCTGGACTCTGGGATATAAACTGATACTTGTGAGGAGTGTGCCTCTTGGCTCAAGTAGATACAAGAGACTAAACTGGTAGCTTCTGTCTGGAGGTGAGATGGTAAGGCAGAGAGGGTTAGGAGCTAGCTGAATGGACATGGGGAATCAGGGGTGGAAAGGAGGAGTATGTTGTCACAGTATGGGGAGAGTAATTTGAGTCACATAACAATGTATGTATAAATTTTTGTATGGGAAAAAATAAGAAAATATATAAAATGACAAGAAATGAAACTAGATGCATTCTTTTTAAATTCTGTACGTTCTGCTTCTCAATGAGGTATGAGGTGCTGTGTCAAAGGGTTCCAAAGTCACAGCATTTTAAATAGTATATTTCCTAGGAGAGTTAATTTTAGAATAAAAAACTGAGTGGTAAACGATTTGAAACTCAGATATATTATGCAATAAAATACCTACTGTCTTAGTTATCTAGTGCTGATATAACAGAAATACCACAAATGGGTGGCTTCAACAAACAGAAATTTATATTCTCACAGTTTAGGAGGCCAGAAGTCCAAACTCAGGGCAATGGCTCTAGGGGAAGGCCTTTTCTCTCTGTTGGATCTGGAGAAGGGTCCTTGTTTCTTTTAGCTTCTGCTCCTAGGTGATCTTCCTGTGGCTTGGCCATCTCTCTTCCCCCATCTCTGCTTGCTAGCTTCTTTTAATCTCTTTTATATCTCAAGAGATTGATTCAAGATACACCCTACACTAATCCGGTCTCATTCATATAACAAAGATAACCATTCCCAAATGGGATTATCACTACAGGCACAGAGATTAGGATTTACAACACATATTTTGGGTGGGATGCAGCTCAATCCATAACACCTACTATTCCATTTTGATCCTTAGGACAACTCTTTAGGGTACTGTTGTCAATTATTAGGTTCAGGAAACTGAGGGTCCAGGAGTCAAACCAAAATTCACAGCATCATTAAGTGGAATGAGGGTATGAAATGTGTTTTATGACCCTGTATTTCCTAATAAACTACCCATCAGCCATGGGAGAAAAGAAAATTATCAACAAATTATACAATTTTCCAAGTAACTACAGCAAAAATCCTTCTCCTTTTAGAACTCCAATTAATTCTAATAGTATCAAGATTTTGTCCAAATTACCAGAATTTTACAATTGCCTATTTTGTCAAGCATTAATGCAAAAATGGCATAATCTACTTTCATACTAGCAAGATAAAGCCTGAAGTTAGGTGTGCTTTTAACAGAGAATTTCTATGAGGTGGAGTATATGAGGTTGGACACAGCTTTGTTCCGGCAACTATCAGAACCAAAGCTTCCTACTCATTTAGGTTCAGGATAACTCATGCATGCACGAATGACTCTGAATACAAACAAAACGTGCATGTGCAAACTAACGTGAACAAGGTAATCAAAAGAGACTAACGTCTTTGGTGATTCGACAGAGAAGTGTTAAGGAAAAAGAGAAAGGCAGAAAATGATACATAAGCAGCTCAAATAATTCCTTAAATAACACTAACACAGTGTCTGAGCAGTCCTAGATTGTAACTTTAACAGAAGAACAAAGCACAAAATACTTCACAGTTAAGGTCAGCTAACTATGTAAGTACATAATATTGTGTGAGAATAACTAAGCCAAGGGACTCTAATTAATACCTCCAACCAATGCTCCTTTTTAGATTGTTATAGTGAGACTAATAAAGTAGAAAACACTCTGCAGAGTCGATTTATTGAAATTGTTACCTGCATTAACTATTTTCACTAGTATAGTCCATATATTCAAATGATTCTCCAGCGACGACCACAGAGGCTGTCCCTAGTGCTATCTTGCTCCTTTGAACCCCTTATAATTTTCTTAATGTCATTTTGTGTATTTCTCTTGTCTCATTCTGACTACTGGGTGGTAAACTTCTCAAAAGCAGCAACACCACCTTACTCATCTTTATATTCCCCAAGCACTTACATAGTGCATTGCCCACAGGGGCTTAAGGAAGTTGTATTTAAATGGAATTTGTACTTGATTTCAATTTAAGGATTTACAAACATGAATCACGAAACAAGACTTCCAGAGCCAGTTTCAAATATATTCATGTCCAACTGTCATTTGACATAACTGTGAAGTAATAAGGATTCCTCTAAAAGATAGCTCTTTCTTGATGATAAAACTAAATATGAAAGCAACTCTACAACCAGAACATAAGTAAAAAGAATGCTAACACATTATGAAAAAATGTAACTAATGTCACTGAACAATTTGTGTAGAAACTGTCAAATAGGAACCTAACTTGCTGTGTAAATTTTCACCGAAGACACAATAAAATATTATTTAAAAAAAAAAAAAACAAGAAACAAAGCAACTCCACAGAAATAGATTCTAGATGGCACTAACTTTAAAGCAATTATGAACAGAAACATTAGGTATACAACCTATTTGAAATTAAAGTTTCAAAATATGTAAAAAGATTCTATATCATTCAAAGTACAGGCAGTCTGACTTACAGACAACTTACTTGCCCTTTAATGTTTATGTAAATTTGCCCTCACTTTGAAACGACTAAACCAACCCCCTACTCACAACAAATTCTTCATCACAATCACCTTCACTTGCTGCATGTGCAGCTTTTAAATCACTGAAAAGGGTCTGAGCTTTTTCTTGCACTAAAAAAACAAAAACCCATTGCCGTCGAGTAGATTCCGACTTAACAGTGACCCTACAGGACAGAGTAGAACTGCCCCACAGGGTTTCCAAGGAGCGCCTGGTGGATTCAAACTGCCAACCTTTTGGTTAGCAGCTGAACTCTTAACCACCGCGTCACCAGGGTTTCCTGTTGCACTAAAGTGAGGCTAAATTAAGAATTGTATGCATCTATTCTGACTTACCTATAAATTCGACTTAAAGACACAGGAAAGGATCTCGTTCATAACCTGGGGACTGCCTGTACTTACTGAGGGCTCGTGCAAGGTTCTCTGCTAAGCACTGAAGACACAATAGTTACGACAAAGCCCTACTATCAAGCAGCTCATAGCTGATTCAGTAATCAATTAACTAAAGCCAAAAGAAAATTATTTAATGCACCTGTTATCAGCCACTTGCAGGAGGTCTGCAATATAAGGGTCATCTGGCTGAGGAACTGGATAGGAAGTGACTTCAGAAGGAGGAACTGGTTCATCAATTTGCATACGCTGGCGCCTGAAGGCAATACTTCTTTTCTTGCCACCTAAAATAATAAGTGTATATATTAAAAAATTAAGAAAAAATAAAATAATGCATTGTCTTAGAATTAAATAACACAGAGTGTTAACCTTTTTGTTATAATGTATGTCCCTAGCTCACGTTGCTGTTGTTAGATGCCATCAAGGTGGTTCCGACTCATAGCGACCCTATGTACAACAAAACTAAACATTGCCCAGTCCTGCGCCTTCCTCATAATCATTGCTATGTTTGAGCCTTGTTGCAGCCACTATGTCAATCCACCTCGCTGAGGGTCTTCCTCTTTTTTGCTAAACCCTCTACTTTACAAAGCATGATGTCCTTCTCCACGGACTGGTCCCTCCTGATGACATGTCCAAAGTACGTGAGATGAAGTCCTGCCATCCTTGCTTCTAAGGAGCATTCTGGCTGCACCTCTTCCAAGACATATTTGTTCTTTCTTCTGGCAGTCCATGGTATATTCAATATTCTTCGCCAACACCGTAATTTAAAGGCATCAATTCTTCGTTATTCATTGTCCAACTTTCACATGCTTATGAGGTGAATGAAAATACCATGGCTCGGGTCAGGGGCACCTTAGCCCTCAGAGAGACATGTTTGCTTTTTAACACTTTAAAGAGGACTTTTGCAGCAGATATGCCCAATGCAATATGTCATTTGATTTCTTGACTGCTGCTTCCATGGGCGTTGAATGTGGATCCAAGTAAAATGAAATCCTTGACAACTTCAATATTTTCTCCTTTATCATGATGTTACCTATTGGTCCAGTTGTGAGGATTTTTGTTTTCTTCATGTTGAGGTATAACCCATACTTCAATCTTCATCAGTAAGTGCTTCAAGTCTTCTTCATTTTCAGGAAGCAAGGCTGTGTCATCTGCATATCGCAGGTTGTTGAGTCTTCCTCCAATCTTGACACTGTTCTTCTTCATATAGTCCAGCTTCTCAGATTATTTGCTCAGCATACAGACTGAGTAAGTATGATGAAGGATACAACCCTGACACACACGTTTCTTAACTTTAAACCACACAGTATCCCCTTGTTCTGCTCAAACGATTGACTGCCTCTTGGTCTAAGTACAGGTTCCTCATGAGCACAATGAAGCGTTCTGCAAGACTTTTTATATGTCATCCCATTGTCTTCTTGCCTACATGGTTTCTGCTGAGTAGTCAGAGCTTAGTCTTATTGGTTCTCTTTTGTAGCTGACTTTCTGTTTATCCCTAGCCACTCTCAAGATTCTTTGTCTTTGGTTTTGGCAAGTTTGAGTATATGTCTTTGTAACTTTCTTTTGGGATCTACCCTGTGTGGGGTTCGTTGAGCTTTCTGGATAGATACCTTCTCATCTTTCATGATTTCAGGTAAGTTTTCTGCCAGCAAATCTTCAACAATTCTCTGCGTTTTCTGTTATCCGCTCCCCCCACCTCCACCTCATTCTGATACTTCAATCACTTACAGGTTTTTCCTCTTCATAGTTGTCCCACATAATTTTTAGGCGTTCTGCACTTTTTAAAATTTTACAGTGAAGTATTCTGAATTCCCATTCTTCACAATGTTACCTATAATTTGTTATGAGCCACATGGCTGAATGCCTTTGCACAGTCAATAAAACTCAGGTAAATATCTTTCTGGTATTCTCTGCTTTTAGCCAAGATCCAACTGACATCAGCAGTGACATCCCTGGTTGCCCGTCCTCTTCTGAATCCAGCTTGTATTTCTGGCACTTCCTTGTTGATGTACTGCTACAACTGCTTTTGAATGATCTTCAGCAAAATTTTACTTGCATGTGATATTAATGATATTGTTAGATAACTTCCGCATTCTGTTGGATCACCTTTCTTTGGAATGGGAACAAATACGGATCTCTCGGTTGGCCAGGTAGCTGTCTTCCAAATTTCTTGGCACAGAGGAGTGCTAGCTCACATTTACCTGTCAATAAAATATTTTCTCCCTCACATGTAAATTACCCACCTTCATCTTTAACTGAACAGTGCATTCTTGAAAGCCTCAAGAAGACATGGTTATAAGAAAAGTTTTATTTGCCTGAATGCTTGGCTCATATGCCAGAATTTACTCTGTTCCTCCACTAGATGGGGACCAGACATTAGCAAAATTAAAAGCTGAGTGGGCCTGTGGTGTTCTCTATTATGAGCTCAAGAAATCATCACTAACAGAAAACTGTCAAATGCAGAGCCTAAAGCAGTCAAAACTAAAATACACACACTTATTCCACAGTGTCAAAAGTACAGACGACTGAAATTTTAACTAGTAAAAATAGTAATGGAATGTCATCAGTAATAAAAATCATTTTATAATCTGAATCGGTAGGGAATGTTTTCTTATCTTAAAAGTAGCAAAAATAATTTTTTTTTAAATGTATAGACATATCCTGTGTTAGTCCAAACCAAATGGATATTTGACCTTTCTAAGCATCTAACCAAGTTAGAAGTGTACTTGAACAACTAGAAGATTCTCAGGAACAACAATCTACAACTTTGTCTTCATTAGAATCCTAACAATTTTGTATACAGACAGTCCTTGGATTACCAACAAGTTCCATTCCTAAGTCTGTCCTTAAGTCGAATTTGTACATAAGTCAGAACAGTTAGGTATGGTTCATATCTAATGTCAGTTAGTCAAATGTTTGTCTTAGTATATAGCATGTAGTGTACCTTTCTATGCATAAAAAACTTTAAAGAAACACTTCTAGATACACTAAAACATCTTTAACATAATAATACAATAATAATAATGTTTAGCTGCATGTCACAAAGTAGCATCCATTTATTATTATGAACCACTGTATGTATCTCAAATTTTTATTTTAATAGACTTATGGTGGTTGGTTCATAACTACAGGTTGTAAATAAGTCAGACATTTATAACCCGGGGATTGCCTATACTCCTCTCTCTCGTTTTAAGGATGAAGGAACCGGGTCAAAAGTATTCAAATGATCTGCTTATAGTTACACACCTAAACAAAAGTAACTTTTCCTTCCTGATTCTTCTTCCCTTACCTCCTGGTTTTCTTCCTTGGTTACTCCTTCTCAGGTTCTTTCAATGACCCTCTTCTTTCACCAGGCTTTTAAATGTCAGTTTCCCTAGGTTCCATCTTGGGTTCTGCTCTCTTTCCAATCTACAGAATCTCATTAGATATTCCTATCACACCATGAGTGATGAGTCCCAAATTTGAATCTTCATCTGGGACCACACTTCTGAGAACAGATCCACATACATATTACACTGCTTACCAGAAATAACAACACAAATGTCCCATGGGTACAGCATCCTCAAGATACCCAAAACTGGACTCCTGCTCTGCTTCCCACATTCTCTGTTTTGAAAAATAACACCATCATCCACCCACTTATTTACTGGACATAGAAATCTAAGAATTCCCCTATTTCTCAAATCTACCGCATTCAGTCATGAAATACTATTGATCACATTGCCGGAATCTCTCTTGAATTTGTCCCATTCTTTCCTCAGAAAACCTGATTATTCTCTTTTTGGCCTTAATCTTCTAGTTACTTCTGAGATTTTCTCCCACTTTTCTCCATCTTTGGCTCAGAATCTCTCTCCATCTTACTTCCTGTCAACTTCAATGATTTTTCCCACATCCTAGCCTCATAGTTCCTAATCCCTCAACTCTCATAAGTTTCTTCTCCACTCAGCTTTAGGCTCATGGTAACATGACTACACTTTGGGCTTTGTCATCACTCACAATTGTACCAGATTCTAGATCTTCATATCTGAAATTCCATTCTGACTACAATCTTCATTCCAACCAAATTACTTTTGGTTCTCAGCATTCCCTTTAGTCCTGCAGTCTCTACCCAGTCTCATAATCCAGCAGCCTCCTATGCCTCACTTTCATAATCTTGACTCCATGGTTCAGATATCTCAACGACGCTGTCACTAGTACTGTAGATTCCTCTACCAACCTACGCCTGGGCAACCACCAACACTGGATACGTCCTATCATTTCTCTTTTCTTTTAGAACTGCTGAACACAAAACTAAAAAATAAACTACAGAAGTACATATTTCCAAATTTTTCTTTAATGAGTATGGGTTAGTTTTATAAAAAATAAATAATAGGAAAAAACAAAGAATTAAATATACAATTAGGGAAATAAAACTCTGGCATTAAAGTTACACCACTTGTATCTAAAACCAAACAAATCCACTGTTGTCAAGTCAATTCTGACTCCTAGCAACCCTGTAGGACAGAATACAACTGCCCCATAGGGTTTCCAAGGCCTTAAATCTAAACGGAAGTCGAATGCCCCATCTTTCTCCCAAGGAACAGCTAGTGGGATCAGACTGCTGATCTTTTGGTTAGTAGCTGAGCTCTTGCGCCACCAGGGCTCCTGTACTTGTAACTAAGAAGCTATTATTACACACACTTTTATACAGATGCATCGTACAAAATACTGTCTGGATCTTCAGATATAAACCAAGAAGTTTATGTGACTATCCAAATACACATCTTTTCAAACACTAACCTCTAAGTATGAAAATCCTAAGTCCTACTTCCGTCAACAGTTTTTAGTAGTTTTAAAAGATTAAATGTATAACTTATCCTTTTCTTTTTTTGAAGAAATACTTACCTGGAGTTTGTACTACGGCATGCAAATTCTTTTCTTGAAGTAGCTGTATTTTTTCATCCTTAGCTTTGCTTTCTTTTTCCAAAAGTTTGAGTTTATGAACATACTGGTTATTTAGAAATTTCAGATCATCTGATTCACGTGCACACTTCTTCAGTGCAGCTTTCAACTCTTAAAATAAAAAAGATTCAAAGACTATTTTAAACACTAAGAAATCTATGAGGTTGTCTCACTTCAGGAAAAAGTCCCACCAATTTTTAAGGTTCCACCTGATTCTTATGCATGCTTTGTTTGAAAGCCTATTTACCTTTTCCACTAGTAACAAAATGGGAAATAAGTCACTAAGCACAAAAGGGGATAATATTTTTCTACTGCTCAAATGAACCTAATATAAATCACAGCTTTTGATCTGGTAAATTGGGTATGAAGCGAAGCGATTATGAATTCTTGCCAGGTATTAGAGCTTTCTACTGAATGAAAGAAAAATTTATGAATAAGACAGCCATATAACTAACCTTTTCCCAGTATCTTTGAAACCATCCTTGTCTACCTTCTGGCTAAAAGACCACCTATTAAAGAATCAGAGTGATACCTGGCTTTCACCTTTACTACTGTTATTTTCAGCAGGAGAAAAACAAAAGGTGTCTCAAGAACATTTCTTCAATTTCAGCATATAATATTCTACACAGTAATTTTAATTCTAAAAATTTAATCCACATACAGTGTGGACAAATATAGCTATGGAATACACATTCATATTCTTTCTCAGGAATTCTTCAATACACCCTAGAGTAGTTCAGCAGGAGCTATTAGCAGAAGGACCACCACATTTTCTAATTTAAGAGTTTTAAACTTAGACTTTAGCCTTCCCTACTTTGTCTTTCTTACTGTGGACACATCATTAGGAAAGCCCAATCACTAGAAAAGGACATAATGTTTGGTAAAATAGAAGGTCAGTGAAAAAAGAAATACCCTCAATGAGATGGATTGACACAGTGGGCTAAAATATATCAAAGATCATGAAGATGGCATGGGACCCAGCAATATTTCATTCCGTTATACATAAGGTCACCATGAGCTGGAGCCAACTTCAACTTCATGGTGAGTAATAACACTACATATAAAACAAAAATTTGTACTGAAAAAATTACCAGTTTCATTTACCTTTACTTTGTTGGCCTGATTGTTCTCTCAGTTTCATTAATTCCAGGTATAATTCATTATTTTCTCTGCACAATCTTGCATTTTCAACTTTATAGGGTTCCAGAACAAAATCAAAATTGGCACTTTCTTTTTCAGCTTTAACAGCAGACAATTTTGATTTCCGAAGGCTCTCTGTTGTATGAACTAGGTCACTAAAATTAAAGAACAAAGCATGTAAATAGAAGGAAACATTCCATTAACTTTCTAGTAACTAAAAATAGATTTCTAAACAAGGCTTAAAATATGTGTTAATGATAAATGAGCCCAAGTCTTAAAAAGATTTAAAGAAAAATTTTCTAAAAGAATACTAATATTCTTTCAAGGTACCAGCAAGCCCTCAAAATTTTCTCAAAACAAGATCAAAAGTTGTAAAATAAACACATACACATATAGAATCATCTTTGAGTCTCCCTTCTCACTTATCCACCATGTCTAATCAATCACCTGATGCAGTGGAATCTGTGAAATTTACTTGCTCATTCAGCAAATATTTATATATAGGGTCACTATAGGTCAGAATCGACTCTAACGCAATGGGTTTTTTTTTTGTTTATATGCTAAGTGCTAGGGGTACAACAATGAATAAGAATCAGTTCCTCACCTCCAAGAACACACAACTGGAATCTTCAATCAGTAAGTATTTATTGAGCAGGGACCACACTAATGTCCCCATTGTCATGGAGCTTATTATTCTGCTGATAGTTTATTAAACAGTTATTGTGTCAGTACCTTCTACGTGTCTAGCCCTGTTACCGATCTAGCAGTGACAAAGTCAAAGTCTTGGTCTCATGGAGTTTACTTACTGAAGGGAAGACAAAAACAAGTTTCCAGGAAGGATAAGCAGTTAAGGTAACATGTAACAGAAGTGACAGAGTCATGCAGGACATATAAACTTAGAAGCTAACCAAGCACAAGGGCAAAGGAAGAGCATGAGGAGAAGGGGGCTTTACAGGCAGATAGGACAGCATATGAGAGAGTGCATGGTATGTTCAGGGAGCTTCAAGTAGTTAGATACATGGGAGATGAAGCTGCAGAGAAAGGCAGGGCTTAAATCATAAAGGGTTTAGGTGGCCATATGAAAGATCACAAAATAACTTTTGTCCATTCTTTCCTTTCCATCATCATTGCTTATAGTCCTATTCAAAAACTTCCTAAGGAATTTCTCTGCTTCAGTCTCAAACCACTCCAATATAGCTCTTACAGAAAAGAAAAAAAAAAAAATCATGAAGAATCTTGCAGTTAAGGTAACCTATAATAGCTAAAGTAATGACCAACAACATATTAGAGAACCATTATTAATATAATAGTAACTACAGACCAGTGAAGCAGACATAGAACTTAAGGGAAGAGTGTCTCCCAACTATATCAGAAAACTACATTTTAAAAAAGTATAACTCTATTCACAGAGAAAATACCCAGAAACGTATAGTCTTAAAGAATGGTGACCCCCCCCCCCGAGTTCTGCAATATGGAGGTCTTACATTGATAACAGACAGGGGAGCAGGACATAAGGAAAAACAGATGAGCTTCAGACGATTTAACTTTTCAAAAATCTAACCATTTCTCTACTGAAAGATGAAGTTCAATCAGAAACAAACAGGATTAAGAAACATTTAGTTTTAGAATTGTATTTTCTTCTTACCTGAAAAGTTTTTCTACCAAAGGTAAGCACTCTACTGTCAGAGTCTGGCGGTATCCCAACTGATCCAGTCTTTTTCTAATATTAACGTATTTTCTTTCTGCAGCAGTAGTCATCTTGTCTTCCAAAACAAGTTTTATTGACTTCAAAAAATTAAAGTCCTAAAAGAGATGAGTAAAACACCATTATATTATAGCTATATATTATTTAGCTACTATTAAAAGATTCTTTTAGTATGAAGCAATTATTTTTTTGTTTCTCTTCAGGTAGCCTTCCACCCAAACATTTAGATTGATTTAGAGTGATCTAAATCCAATGTTTATGATATTCAGGGTTACTATGAGTCAGAACCAACCCAACGGCACCTAACAACAACAACATGACATTCATGTTGCTGCTTTAAAATAAATATCTCTTCATAAACCTAAATGTAAAAGCTAAAGCAATAAAGCGTCTAGAAGAAAACAAAGAAGAATATTTTCCCAAGTTTGAGGTAAGCAGAGAATTCTTAAAGAGGCTTCTTTTAAAAGCATGAAACAGGTGTTCTGTTGTGTATACTCTCAACACCACCAACAAAAATAAAATAAATTATAAAAAAATAAAAACATGAAAGATAGAAACAGTAATTTTTTAAAAAGCAAAAAAGCACAAAACAAAAAATTAATAAACTGTACTTTATCAAAATTAAAAACACCTGCTCATCAAAATATTCCGTTAAAAAAAAGAAAATGCAAACCGCAGAGTGGGAGAAAATATTCAAAATATCTGATAAATGATTTCTATATGGAATATATAAAGAACACTTATTATGATTATTATTCGGTGCCATCTTGTGGGCTCCGATTCATAGTGACCTTACGGATAACAGAAAGAAATGTTGTCTGACCCTGCATTATCCGTACAATCATTGCCATGTTTGAGTCCATTCTTGCAGCCACTGTGTCCATCCAAAAGAACTCCTACAACTCAACAATAATGAGACAAACAACCCAACAAGAAAATCAGCCAAAGGCTTGAATGCGCACTTGGCAAAAGATAGTTGAAGAGAATAAACATAGGAAAAGGTGCTCAACACCATTAGTCTTCAGTGAAATATAAATTAAAACCACAATGAGATGCAATTTCACCCCCTCTCAAAAAACAAACAAAAAAAGTCCACTGCCGTCGAGTCGATTCTGACTCATAGCAATCCTACAGGACAGAATAGAACTGCCCATAGGGTTTTCCAACAAGCGGCTGTTGGAATCAAACTGCCCACCTTTTGGTTAGCAGCTGAGCTCTTAACCCCTGTGCGACCAGGGCTCTCACTCCCTATAGAATGGCTAAAATTAAAAGGACTTACAACACCAAATGTTAGCAAGGATGCAGAACAGCCAGAACCCTTACACAGTGCTGATAAGAGTGTAAAATCATGTTGGAAAAAGTCTGATAGTTTCTTATAAAGTTAAACATACTTCTGTCCTATATTTCTATTCCTGTTTACCCAAGGAAATGTAAACAAACGTCCACAAAAAGACTTTACGAGAATGACTATAACAGACCCTAACCGAAAACAACCTAAATATCCATCAGCAGCAGAATCAGCAAGCAAACTATGATACATTTATACAATGTAATACTACTCAGGAATAAAAAGGAAGGAACTACCAATACCCACCAATAACATCCAATAACATGTATGAATCTCAAAAGAAGCCAAACACAAAAGAGTATACACTGTATGATTCCATTTCTATGAAATTCAAGAACAGACAAAATTAATCTATGGGGATAGAAATTGGAACAGCTGTCACCTGGTGGGAGGGGGAAGTGACTGGGAGGGTTAAGAGGCAACTTTCTAGGTGATGAAAAGACGAAAACATTGCATACATTAATTGAGGTAGTGGTTACACAGGTGTATGTATTTATCAAAACTTTTCAAATGGTACACTTAAGATCTGTGCATTTCACCATAGAAATTGTACTTCAATTAAAAAAAAATACACACACACAAGTATCTCTGCACAAATTTTTATCCTTTTCTATTTTAATATTTAGTATTTCTACCACTTGTCTGCCTTACTGTGGTAGCTTGTGTGTTGCTGTGATGCTGGAAGCTACACCACTGTTCATTCAAATACCAGCAGGGTGGTCATCCATGATGGACAGGATCCAGCAGAGCTTCTAGACTAAGACAGACTAGGAAGAAGGGTCTGGCGATCTATTTCTAAAAAAACTGGCCAGTGAAAACCTTATGAATAGCAGCAGAACACTGTCTGCTATAGTGCCAGAAGATGAGCCCCTCAGATTGGAAGGCACTCAAAATACAACTGGGGAAGAGCTGCCTCCTCAAAGTAGAGTGAACCTTAATGACATGGATGGACTAAAGCTTTCAGACCTTCATTTGCTGAGGTGACAAGACTCAGGATGAGAAGAAACAGCTGCAAACATCCATTAATAATCAGAACGTGGAATGTACGAAATATGAATCTAGGAAAATTAGAAGTTGTCAAAAATGAAATGGAATGCATAAACAATGAAATCTTAGTCATTAGTGAGCTGAAATCGACTGGTATTGGCCATTTTGAATCAGACAATCATATGGTCTACTAGGCTAAGAATGACAAATTGAAGAGGAAGGCATCCCATGCATTGTCAAAGAGAACATTTAAGCTCTATCATGAAATACAATGCTGTCAGTGATAGGATAATATTCCTATGCCTATAAGGAAGACCAATTTAATATGTCTATTATGCAAATTTACATACCAACCACTAACGCCAAAGATGAAGAAACTGAAGATTTTTACTACCTTCTGCAGTCTGAAATTGATCAAACATACAGTCAAGAGATGTTGATAATTACTGGTGACTGGAATGTAGAAGTCAGAAACAAAGAAGGATTGGTAGTTGGAAAATACGGCCTTGGTGACAGAAACAACACTGGAGACCGTATGACAGAATTTTACAAGATCAACACTTATTCATTGGAAATATCTTTTCTCAACAACATAACTGGTGACTATACACATGGACCTCGCCAGATGGAATACACAGGAATCAAATCAACTACACCTGTGGAAAGAGATAATGGAGAAACTCAATTTCATCAGTCAAAACAGCCTGATTGTGGAACAGACCATCAATTGCTCATACGCAAGTTCAAGTTGAAGCTGAAGAAAATTAAAACAACTCCCTGGGAGCCAAAGCACAACCTTGAGTATATCCCACTTGAATTTAGAGACCATCTCAAGAAGAGATTTGATGCACTGAACACTAATGACTGAAAACCAGACGAGTTGTGGGATAACATCAAAGACATCATACACGAAGAATGCAAAAGATCATTAAAAGACAGGAAAGAAAGAAAAGGCCAAAATCGATGTCAGAAGAGACTCTGAAACTTGCTCTTGAAACCAGTGTGGCTAAAACAAAAGGAAGAAATGACCATGTAACAGAGCTGACCAAAGACTTGAAAGGGCAGCTCGAAAAGACAAAGTAAAGCATTATAATGAAATGTGCAAAGACCTGGAGTCAGAAAACCAAAAGGGAAGAACATCCTTGGCATTTCTCAAGCTGAAAGAACTGAAGAAAACATTCAAACCTCCAGTTGCAATGCTGAAGCATTCTATGGGCAAAATACTGAACAACACAGAAAGCATCAAAAGAAGACAGAAGGAATACACAGAGTCACTGTACCAAAAAGAACTGGTCGAGGTTCAACCATTTCAGGAGGTAGCATATGATCAAGAACCAATGGTAATGAAGAAAGAGGTCCAAGCTGCACTGAAGACACTGGCAAAAAACAAGGCTCTAGGAATTGACGGAATACCAACTGAGATGTTTCAACAAACGTATGCAGTGCTGCCAAGTGCTCACTCATCTATGCCAAGAAATTTGGAAGACAGCTACCTGGCCAACCAACTGGAAGAGATCAACATCTGTGCCCATTCCAAAGAAAGGTGATCCAACAGAATGTGGAAATTATCGAACAATATCAATACTACATGCAAGTAAAATTTTCCTGAAGACCATTCAAAAATGTTTGCAGTAGTACATTGACAGAAAACTGCCCAAAACTCAAGTCAGATTCAAAAGATGACCGGAACGATATCATAGCTGATGCCAGATGGATCTTGGCTGAAAGCAGAGATAACAGAGAAATGTTTACCTGTGTTTTATTGACTATGCATATGACTGTGTGGATCATAACAAATCATGGACAACACTGTGATGAACAGGAATTCCAGAACGCTTAACTGTGCTCATCCAGAACCTGTACATAGACCAAGAGACAGTCATTGGAACAGAACAAGGGGATACTGCGTGGTTTAAAGTCAGGAAAGGTGTGCGTCAGGGTTGTATCCTTTCACCATACTTATTCAATCTGTATGCTGAGCAAATAATCAGAGAAACTGCATAATGTGAAGAAGGACAGGGCATCAGGATTGGAGGAAGACTCATTAACAACAGGCAATACGCAGATGACACAACTTTGCTTGCAGAAAATGAAGGGGACTTGAAGCACTTACTGATGAAGATCAAAGACTACAATCTTCAGCGTGGACTACATCTCTACATAAACAAAACAAACATCCTCACAACTGGACCAATGAGCAACATCATGATAATTGGAGAAAATACTGAAGTTGTTATGGATTTCATTTTACTTGGATCCACAATCTACACCCATGGAAGCAGCAGTAAAGAAATCAAATGAGGGGAGGTGGGGCCAAGATGGTGGAGAAGTCAGACACTTCTGGTAGACCCTCTGAAAATAAAGACCCAAAAAAACAAGGGAATCAATTATATGTGACAATGTAGGAGCCTTGATCAACTAAGGCAAAGTTGAGGAATCAGACTGAGTGGCAGGGGGAGGGAGAGACGGTTCGGAAGCAGTGAGCAGTTGCCAGAACTGACCCGGTGAGAGCCTGAGCCCTTCATGCCTGATCAGCTCATGAGTGAGCAGTGAGGCAGGCAAGCAGCAGTGCTTGGGAGTCGCGTTCTCTGCACCAGAAGAGACCCAGCAGCAGAGAGTCTACTCAGCCACCCAGAATCAGTGAGAAGCAGTCCTCGATCGGTGAAAGATGAGTACTTGCATACGGCCTACCACACGGATCAAAAACACTCCCCTTGGGAAAAAATCTCTCTCCCATCTATCTCCCCACTCCCTGCTTTGCAC